CAGCTTGGTCCTACCAGGAGATCAGTGGAGATCAAAGGGGTTTTTTGACAATCCACAGCACCAGCATCTGGCAGGTAATGGGTCTGAAAAGGGCATTGTTTGGTCTCTGTGGGGTGGGATCAAAAAGGGTGGGATGTGGATCACACCAGAGCTCTGATCTCCAGCCCCAGATGGATATTCTTGGAGAGCTGGAAGCAGCTGGAGAGTGTTTTGTGTGCTGGTGTCAAAGGTATTGAGATCCCTCCTGAAACGTGGCAGCAGGAGAAGGGCAGATGCAGACCAGGTTTGTTGAGGATTTACAAGTCCTTCATAGTAAAAACAAGACAAGGGATGACAGGTTTCAGAAGGAAAAAGCCCTTGGAATGGCACTGGTCAAGAGTGGACCAAAAGGACACAGTACATCTGAGAGAGAACCCAAAATAAATGTCCTGAAAGTATTAACATTCTCTATCGACTTTAAATGTGACTAGGAATGAATGTTTCCCTTCCTTTCCTTTCCCTCCTCTCCCCTTTTCATCTAGGGAAAAACCCAGCACTCTGCTGTGGGATGTTAGTGAGCTGATCTAAGGAAATGTAGGCAGGTGGAAGATTCAGAGATATTTTACTGCCCTCCTGCAGCAAAAATAATCAGTGGGAATCTCGTCTGCTCTGGACAGAGCTGAACATTTTCGTTGGTGAGGCAGAAGAGCTTGAAGAAGACTTGAAGAAATGCCAGAGCTCAAGTCCCCAAATCCAGCTGGGTCATGGAATGACTGTGGACAGGTCTTTGCCTTAGCCCTACAAGTTCCCTGGCTTGTTCCCTCTCTCTCCACCTCACATGGAGCACTGGCTGAGGCAGAGGTTAATTTTCATGATTTTTAGGGTTGAGGTATTCGCTTTGTCCATTTGCAAGCCAAGATGCCTCCAGCACAACGTGGGAATCGCTGTTCCCTTCAGCCCTGCAGGAGTGAGGAGGGACCACAGGCACCTAAGAGGTGCCAAAAAGCATCTCAGGAACACGTGGGTTGGGTGTGAAGGCAGAACAGATGGTTGTCAATGCTGTGTTTAGAAACACAGGACAGGGAGGTACAGGAGGATTCAGTAACTTCAAGGTCATGCAGCCAGTGGGGATTCAACCCACGTGTCCTGCATGACAGTCCACTAGACCTGGGTTTTCTTCTCGTGGCCCTTGCCTGGAGAGCAGCACAAGCTGGGGCTGGACACAGGAATTTGGAAGCAAGAGCCTGTGGTTCATGCAGTGGACAGGTGGACCAGTCACACAGAGTTATCATCTGGGGGGAAAATAACTCTGCCCGAAGGGCTCAGGATGAGTCAGACTGAGGATGCTGTAATTGAATAAAAATACCTGTGCTTTCTTGCAGTTCAGCTAATCCACATCAACAGCTCGGTGGGATTTACTTCCCTATGACAACAAGAGCACAGGCTCATGGGATTTTAGGGCAAAAATGCACCAGGTACATCTTTAACAAAAGATGGTTGAAGCGAAATCTCTTGGCCACCTTTGTCCTCTGCCCTGCTCGGACTGACCTTCACCCATCTCAGCTTTGGAGAAGAATTAATTTGGGGAGTGAATATGCAGCAGGTTGCTCTTCTCTGGGCAGATACCTGTCTCCAAGCAGGCAGCAGGGGGGCTGAGGTCAGCAGAGGCAGCTGAATTTTCATTAGGAACAGATCCTTTTATCGTGGTTTACAGCTCCAGACACAGAAATCAGGAAGGGCATCGGGGCTGCTGCTTTTACCTTTGTTGTGTCTTTATTCAGAGTGTGACATCATCCTATTGATGAAGGTCAGGCTGATCTCAGGTCCCTTCTGACTCATTGAACATTAGGGATGGCTGGAGGCAGGAGAGGCCGGTGATTTGATGTGACAGGTCAGGAGGGAGCACAGCAGCGGTGCAGCAGGACACGGGCTGCAGGAAGGGGTGATGCCATGATCCATTGTGACAAGAGGAGAGCTGGATGGACGGACCAACAGCCTGGAATGACCCAGCAAGGGCAGGATAGAAAGAGGCAAAACCCTAAAACCCCTTTGGTCTGTGTCCGTTCCCACTACACGGGATAAATCCAAAGTGACCTTCCTTAGCTGCCGATGGGATCACAGATTTATTGTTCCTTAAAGTACATCCCATTCCAGCCCCTGCCATGGGCAGGGACACCTCCCACTAGACCAGGTTGCTCCAACCCCCTCCAACCTGGCCTTGGACACTTCCAGGGATGGGGCAGCCACAGCTTCTCTGGGCAACCTGTGCCAGGGCCTCACCACCCTCTCTCACAGAAGAGCATTTCTTCCTAATATCTAACCTAAACCTACATTATTTCAGTATAAAGCCATTAATCCTCTGTCCAAAGATGCAGGGCAGTTGTGAACTGCAGTCCAGGCTGGATCCAGGATGTGGCCACCAGAGCAGGAGAGGAGCAGGAGCAAGGACTCTGCTCTGCAGATCTGTGGCCATGGAAAGGAGAGGCAGCACCTGTGGTATCCACCACTCCACATGCACTGCTTGGCCAACCTGCAACTTGCATTTAGCAAGACGTGCATTTAAAGATGCCAGCTTTGCTCCCAGGTGATTTTTCCTGACCCTTCCTCCAAAGGTCTGTTTCTCACGCATTCAGCATCCGAGTATTTTGAGAAATTCCTGTTCCTCCAGGCTCAGGAAGGCAGGGACAGCTGGGAGCTGTTTCCTTTCAGCCCTCTTGCCTTGCCATCCTGGGAAATTTTGTGCCAGCTGTGGTCACCTGTTTGATTTCTCTTTCAGTGGCTGCCTTCCCCCACAAATTAATTTTGATTATTTAAGCTTGTCTTGCCTGGCAGGGAGGGATCTCTTAGTGGTGTGAGTTTGAAGAGCTCACTCTCTGCATCTCCCTCTTTTTCCCCTGCACTGAGCCTAATTTTGTGGTTCCCTGCCTTGCCCAAAAATAACCTTCAGCCCCAATTCCGAACTGTCATATTCATTACATCCCAGCTGTCTGCAGACAGGGCTTATCACTTGCAATCCTCTCAGTTACACTTGTGATTAAAACTGATTGCAAATGTGATCCTGGCTGCTCAGCCTGGAAATTGGGAACGTCTTTATAATTTCTGACAGCGGATCATGAGGCCTTGGATGAGCCTGGCAGGGCTGCAGAGCCAGGGCAAGATCTTTGCAGGTCTGGGGGAGTGGGAGGAGAATATTTATCTGTGAGAAAGAGAGAGGAGATGGTGATGTTTTGGGGGAGAAAAATAAAATATAGAAGGGATGAGGAATGAAGACCCCCCAAGCTGAAAGCTGGAAAAGCCAGGGGGTAAAAACTAAGCTCTTGACTGCCAGGACCATTCCTGGGAATGGGTGAGGGAGACAGTTGTATGGCAGAGAAAACCAGACCACACAAGCCTTCACTCAGTTTTGGGCACCAGTAACTCATGGAATCAGGGTAGATGTTCCCCTCTTCCCAAAAACAGCAGCAGCACATCAGAGTCTCCAGGACTCTTCTGTACCTACTCCTGCTCCAGCCTGTTCCCTTTGCAGACCTGGAGCCATTTATCCTCCTGTTTGATCAGAGCAAGGGCTGCAAAATTATGCCTTGCAGAGTGGTGGAGCCCTGAACGTGATCAGAGAGTTTGTACCTTGCTCCAAACCTGAAAAGGTCTCCACCATCTTTCTGCTGGCCTGAATTTCACAGCTTGATTGATTACACAGATTTACGTACTTAAAATGAACTACAGAGTTTACATTTATTTAATCTTTCCTTTATATGTTTTTTTTTTTTCCCATTGAGGGCTCAGTGCTTTGTGTTGAACTAAAGCCTGATTTCCAGAGTTTGTTCTGAAGAGATTTAAAATCCACCATTTTCCTTGGGAGCCCTTTTCCAGCGTGTTAAACCCTCTCTCTGATTCACCTCAGCCTTTATTCCCTGCAGCCTGACTTGAGTTATGCTTCATCCCTCTCTGAAGGGAATCTCCCATCATCTCCACAGGGAGGTGCCTCTCCAGCTTCCTTGGTAGGAACTGAACAGGGTAAGTGTTTTTTGACATATCTCCTGGTCAGAGATTGTCCTCCAGACTTCTGAGTCATTTTTCCTGCCCCCCTCTGATGCCTCTCCGAGCATTGGATGTTCCCTTGCAGGCACAGACATCAGAACTGGGTGTCCCCCATTCCTCCACGACCCAGATGTAAAATGACTTGCCTTGTCCAACTCAACATGCCCCTGTTTGTGCATCCAAAAGCTGAATTAACTCTTCTGATGGATTTAGGGCATTGCTTTAAGACCTTTTTTTTTTTTCCCAAATAATTGGACTGGCCTGGCTGTCTTGGAGTTGCTGCTTTCCAGCACAGGCTCTGCCCCCTCCTGTCCATTTTCCAAGGGGTTTTATTGTTTGTTTATAATAGAAAACTTTGCAGAGAGCTATGTTTGTGCCCTGAGCCCAGTCACAAACATTGTCCTGTGGTCAGCACAGACACTAAAAATAACCTTTTTTTTTTTCTTTCTTTTTTTTTGCTGCAGATTCCCTCTTTCTCTGTTTCAGCAGAGGCTCTCAAAGTATTGAGATCCCTGGGAGTGCTCAAGGCCAGCTTGGATGGAACTTGGAGCAACCTGGTCTGGTGGAAGGTGTCCCTGCCCATGGCAAGGGGATGGAATGAGGTGATCTTTAAGGTCCCTTCCAGCCCAAACCATTCTGTGAGACTGTGTTGGTTAGAAATCAGAGCTTGGCTGAGACAGCCCGTGTCGTTCAGGTGTAAAAGCGCCTTTTCCCGATGTTCCCGCAGAGCTCATTTTCTAAGCCTCATTAGTATTTCTCTTAATTTGCATACCCAGGGTGCCCCGCGGGGCGGAGGGGCAATCCTGGCAGCAATATTCACCTTTTCCATGGGAAAGCTGGGGTCAGGACATGAATTTTTGTTATTTCACTGGTGAGGAGTCCGGCTGGAGAGGTAAAAGGTTGAATTTGTGGTTTTCCGATGCTCACCATATCCTGCAGAGGGACAGCTGTGGGATGGTGAGTATGTGAAAGATACCAACAACATACTCTTGTTTCTCTTCAATTCGTATAAATCTTTCGCCTTTTACTAAAGATTTCCGTGGAGAGGAACAAATAAGAGTGCGAAGTAATTTTTTTAAGCTTCACTGAGGTGGAGCAGCTTTCTATGTAGTGAAAGAATAGAAAAAACCTCAAAATATGAGTGATGATTCAAGGTATAAGGGAGAAAGTGTGCTCTGTGACAGGGTGGGTGCTGTCGTTCACCCAGATTATATGGAAATTTTTGCATCCAGGTCTGGGATCTTCAGCACAGGAAAGGTGTGGAGCTGCTGGAGAGAGTCCAGAGGAGGCCCCGGAGCTGTTCCCAGAAGAGAAGGGTCCTCTGAAACTCTGAGAGCCAGTGCTGGGACAGCTGGGAAGGGGCTCCAGGAGAGCAGGAGAGGGACTGGGGACAATGCCTGGAGGGACAGGACACAGGGAATGGCTTCAGAGGGCAGGGATAAATGGGATATTGGGAAGGAATTCTTGGCTGTGAGGACTGTGAGGCCCTGGCCCAGGTTTCCCAGAGAAGCTGTGGCTGCCCCAGTATCCCTGGAAGTGTCCAAGGCCAGGTTGGATGGGGCTTGGAGCAACCTGGAATAGTGGAAAGTGTCCCTGCCCATGGCAGCTGGTTGGAATTGGATGATCTTTAAGGTTCCATCCCACCCAAACCATTGCATGACTCTGTTCTTACCTCTAAAACAGACCCTGGTGCCAAGGAAAAGAAAGAGCTCCTCCTAGAGGGATGTACCTCCAAAACTATGGGTAGGACTTGCCAAGCTGAGTTGTGTGTTCACCACAGTGGCACCTTTCTCGAAGTATTTTCCAGTGTTCGTGACCATTTTCATCATAATTAATTTTTAAGTTTAGAAAAAGAAGGTTTTATACCATTCACACCCCCCCACTCCCCTTTAAGCAACTGGTTTCCTGCCTTTATTCTTTTGCCTGCCTTCATTTCCTGCCTTCATTTCCCCTGCTTTTCAAAGAAGCAGCATTTTCTTTGCAAATGAGTGATAAGGGTGATAAGTTTTCACTCCTAGGAAAAAAAAAAACACCATCCCTCTCAGGGTGAAGTGGCATCTGTGTAACAGCACAGGGAAATGTTATTATTTGTCCTGAACAGCCCAGAGTCCCTCCTGTCATCGTGTCACTGGGAGTGCAGTCACTCCCCAGATCATTCTCCACGATTTTGTGGCTGTTGTTGTGGTGACTTTGCTGCTCTGGACATTCTAAACTCGCCTTGAAGACCTGTGTGGATTTCCTGGGTAGGTGAAGAAGGCTGGAGGGAAGATGAAAATAAACTCCGTGGCATTGAATCTGTGGGAGGGGGATGATTATTCTCTGCAAGGACACAGTTTGGAGGGACAGAACATTTCCACATCTGCTGTGGGACCTGCAAACAGTCCCTCTATGGCAGACACTCATAGCAAATCCTCCCTCATATCAGTGGAACAAAAATGAGGGGAGTTTGCACCATCAAGCTCACATGTTCCCTTTATGACTTAGGCCTGCAGATCCAGCCTGGTGCCCAAAGCAGACCCCTGCTTTTAAACAGAAAATTACAGAACTTACTAAAAAAAAAAAAAAAAAAAAAAGAAAAGGGCACAGGTTCCACCACCACAGTATGCCTGGCACGTTGAGTTTCGGCGCCTCAGCCAAAATTAACATTCCACTTGCAACCAAGAGGCTGCGAGTGACAGCAGCAGCTTTGAAGGTCACCTCGCCTCCAAGTAAATAAATAAATAGTAAACAAGAAAGCAGGCAGCAATGAATAAAGCAGGCAAAGCCAGAGGCATTCCACTGGCTTGAACTTGTGTGGTGGTTTGTTGTTTTTTTTTTTTTATTTCTTCTCTGCTCTCTTCACTTTCATTTCCCAAAGGTCGGTGCTAATAGGAGACCCCTCTGATTGCTGATGCAGGGTGCACACCCTGCCAGGCTGCCTGTTCAAGAGCCCCTGAGACCGATTCAGAGCCTGAGCTGGGAGCAGAACGGTGTCATCTCCGCAGCTGATTGCTTTAATGAGACTTTTCTAGCAGTACCAGGCCGTGACAGGTGGGAGGATCTGCTGCAAACACTGTGTTGATCTCTCAGAGCAGAATCTGTGCCCTTCTTGCTGAGGAGGAATCGCGGTGCCAGGTGTTTGTTTTCCGCGCTCCTCTCGGCCATGCCTAATGAGATCCTGGCTCTGCAAGCTCAGAGTTGACTTTTTCCAACAGTTTTTCCAGCTTGGCCACATGGCCGGGGAAGAGGCAGACTGAAATCAGGCCAAAGCTATTTCTGACTGCGTTTGTGCCGTGCCGGACCCATCTGTTGGATGTGGAGAGGCGCTCGCAGAAGGGCGTGTGGGAGTCCTTTCTTCTCGAACATCCAGTGGCAAGCGGGGACTCTGCCTCACCTTTCAAAGTGCCCTGTCTCCTGGGCATCCATCCTGCACGTGTGCTCCAGGGCTCCCTTCCAGGGTGAGCCAGCAGCTCTCTGCAGGCTGAAATCTGGGCGAGCTGACAGGACAGTTTCCAAAGGAAGCTCTCTGGAGGGACACGGTGCACACGCTGCGCTAATTGAGCCCAGCGCTGTCCCAGCAGACCATGCTCACTCAGAGAAGTTTCTGTCGCACTCCAGCTCGCAAAACACATCCTCTGGCATCAGATTTTGAGAATAACGCATGGTTGGGCAGGACAAAACCCTGTAGTTTTAGCCAGGACTAAATATTTTGTCACTGTCACTGGCTACTCCCACGCATAGTTCAGCAGCAGTCAGAGCTGGATTATGGGAAGACTTTTTATCTTCCTAAAGGAAAATGCCCTTGGAACATGCTCATGTTCCCTGAACACACAGATCTTGTCCTTCTTGGTGTGCCCACTCATGTCACTGACACTGTCACTTTGAGGTGAGACCAAACAATCCATCCACAGTAGAAGAGGCTGAGGACACTCACTCAGCATCTCACCCTGCTGCTGTCCACCTCTCCTGTTTGTGCTGGATAGATTTATATATAATATATAATATTAAATAAATAAAAATGTGTATGTTAATATTTTATATCGTATATATTTATATGAATACATGTTAAAATATAGATGTCTCCTTAGGGAAAACTGGAGTAACCATGAACCCCACCATAAGACCCTATAACTTCAAGAAGCAATGAATCCTCTGATAAAAACCACCCCTAAGGGAATGAGGGACAGTGGGGACAGGCAAAAGAACTTGTAGACACTCTAAGAATAACAAAAACTGGGCTTTGGTATTAAGGAAATACAATCTGATGGTGTTTCCTGTTACAGCCCAATGCAACAGCTCCTTCATGTCATGACCAGCAGGTTTCCCAGAGAAACTGTGGCTGCCCCATCCCTGGAAGTGTCCAAGGCCAGCTTGGATGGGGCTTGGAGCAACCTGGGATAGTGGAAGGTGTCCCTGCCCATGGCAGGAGGGTTGGAATGAGATGAGCTTTAAGGTCCCTCCCAACCCAAACCATTCCATGATAACAAACCCTCACCCCCACGTGACTTAAAATGTGTGATGTCAAATACTGGGAGCAAGGAAGCTGAACCATCTGTGAACATCTCACCTCATAGACTCATCCATCCCCTCACACTGATCCATCCCCTCAGACTGATCCATCCCCTCAGATTGATCCATCCCCTCAGACTGATCCATCCCTTCAGACTGATCCATCCGCTCAGACTGATCCATCCCCTCAGATTGATCCATCCCTTCAGACTGATCCATCCCCTCAGACTGATCCATCCCCTCAGACTGATCCATCCCCTCAGACTGATCCATCCCCTCATGGACTCATCCATCCCCTCAGACTGATCCATCCCCTCAGCTCCTTCGTAGGATCACAGAATGGTTTGGGTTGGAAAGTGGGACCAGCGTGGTCACTTCCAGCTTTTCCAACAGCTCAGGAAGGACAATGTGGACTCCAACATAAATCACAACCCACTGGAACTCTCCACCCCCTCACCTGCAAGTCTGATGGGGTGGCTCCAGTCCTGGCCCTCCCTCCATGCTGGCATGTGTCTGTCTCCCTAAAACTGGCAGAAGTCATCTCCACAGAAGGTGGAAACTGGCTGGCAGGAGACCAGGTGATCTTCTCCTTATTTCCTCACCACTGACTCGTCCCCAATTAACACGCTGATAATTGTTGCCCTTTGGGCCAGACACGATTAATCAGCAATTTTCTCCTTCCATCCTTATTTTATTTTAATTTTTTTTTTTAAGAGCAGCTGGGAAACGTCTTTCTCTCCTTCAGTAGAGTTTGAAAGCTCCTCCATCTGGACAATCTAATTCCCAATGTAAATACAGGGAGAGGAGGGAAGAGGAGAATGGTGTCCCGAGGGAGCCCCTCCACATCCCACTGTCTCTGCCTGAGGTGACTTTCTCCCCCTTCCCTCATTGTCCCGCCCTTTAGGAACAGAGCCAGCCCCTCTGCTGAAGAGGAACTGAAGAGGTGGCTGTAAATTGAAATTAGCATTTACCTCAAGGAGTACAAAGCAATGATTAATGGTTTTTTAATGCTCCACCGTTCCACACTCAGAGCACTTTGTTTTAATGGCAGGGGAAGGAGAATAAAAAGTGTGTGTGTGTGGGAACAGAGCTTTGCACACACGGATCTTCCTCACTCTCAGTAATTCTCACCATTAAGGAGAGCCAATCTAACACTCTTTAGCTCAGAATTACATAGAAAAGCCTGATATCTCATCCAGTGCATCACAACTAAAAATGGAACAGAACAAAGTCATTAAGAGAAATGTCCTCCAACCAGCAGTTACCAGATAATTGTTTTTCTGCTTTGGGTTTAATTATAACGCGGACCAATTGATTAATTAAATAAGTTTCTGTAACCTCCTCCACCCTTGCCCTGAGGAAGGTTCCAGTTAGACTTGCTGAATGATAATTATTTGTCTTTCAGCCCGTTTCAGAATTATGGCTTTTTCAGGGCCATCTCCACGGGTACCGGTGGCAGCTGTTCATCATCTCCTGTCTCGACATGTGCCAATAGTTATCCACGTCACACGGCCTCCTGAACGCCCAGAAGAGCCGTGCATTTGTCAGGCCTTCTTAAGCAACCCCTTTTCTCATCTTTTTTTAATTAAAAAATCATCTCCTTTCAGGCT